GGCCAGTCCTGGTAAGTATCAGCATCATTTCAAAGGAAGAAAGAGGGAGAGGCTACCAAAAATGAGAAAGGCAGGGAGAGGGGAACACCATAGGACAGACCCAAAGGAGCAGAAATATTGGAGAAATCCAAAGGAAGGCATGACCGAAATGGATGCAATTGTGGCCATCACAGAAACCTGAATTTCTAGGCAGTGGAGGGGGGTTATCTTTCAGAGTTCGATAGGGAGAGCATCAGAATCAATAAAAGGACATATTAATTTTCACACTTACAGGTAAGCACATGGAACAGGAAGAGGGAGTATTTGGTCAAATTTACGAATGACTAGGCCATAACTAACTACCATGAACGTGTAGAATTCCCTCCATTAATGTCAGAAAGGAAATCCAGGCCCTCTGGTCACCAGTTCCCCTAGTATCACTGTCCCATGCAGAGTCCAGGGAGGACAGGCGATCAGCGGACCTAAGCCAGGATAGCCACGTATATGTCACATCTGTCTCCCTGACTGGTCAGACCCAGATGGATTCCAGCAAACCACTGAACACCTCCATGGTCAATCCAGAACCAATGGAACATGTAGGTTCCATCCAGGAGGGACTAAAGTCCCAGCATTATAATTATTCATGTTTTGACAGTAATAACGGCTGGCACTTAGTACTCAATAAGCACTTATAGGCATTAACTCATTTAATCCTCGTGATAATCATGTGAGATAAGTAATTATTTGACAGATGAAAAAAAAGAGACACAGAGGGGTTAAGTAGCATGTACAGGTCACACAGCCAGTCAACAGCTGTTATTCCAGATTTGAACCACGTGCAGCCGGGCTCCAGAGTCTGTGCTGTAATCTCTTCTCTGGAACATTTTATTAAGAGCCTTTAAAATGCTTTCTCATTTTATTTACAAATAAAGTACCAATGAACATTTTAGTATTTCAATAGCACTCAAAAATGGACAATGAACAAGCTATTTTTAAAGATAGGAGAATAACTTCTACATTCTTGACTCCAGGATCACCCACACATTGTATGTTCTTCTTTCATGCCCCTAAATTGCTTTGGAACTCATTATTGTACTTTTTATTTTCTCAGTTATAGTTGGCATTTCTGGGGCAAGTCCAGAAAACATGTCTGTTTTTCTCCATTGATTTGTGACTTACCTGACACAGGAACCTTTAAAAAAGCATCATCTTGTGCCTTGCATAGGTAGACAGTCAATAAATGTTCATTGAATTGACAGAACTGAGTCCAGGCAATGGGTTAGTTCTAATTTGATAGAAGATCAAAAGATCACTCTATATAATGCTGTCCAGTAGAACCTTCTACAATGGAGAAATTGTTCTATATCTGCCCTTTATAATGTGGTAGTCACTAGCGACATGTGGCTATTGGATACTTGAAATGTAGCTTGTGTGACTGAGGAACTAAATGTCTAATTGTGTTCAGTTTTGATTAACTTTAAATTTGAATAGCCACAGCTTTATAGTATTAGGTGCTTAACCAAATAAATCAATAAAGGTTCCTGTTTCTAAACACACTACCTGAGATTCAGAGCCTTTGTTAAAGGACCCAGTCCTAGCAGTCATAGATAAGGGGCAAAAGAGAGTAAAATTATTTTACCTTCTAAATGGTTTTATGATAATTATGCATTCAGAATATCTCAAGTAAAATATAGCTTTTTAATTACCATGACAAAGATCGATCAAAATTTCAAATGTACATACCCTTTGAACCTGCAATTCATCTTCTAGGAATTGCTTCCGTTCTGACACACGCTATAAGGCATATGTACAAGGATAGTTACTGAAGTACTGCTTATAATAAAGCCAAAGACAATTTAAAAGTCCAGTTGTAGGAAACAAATCACATATGCTATGGGACTATGATCGGCAGAATAATGGCTCTCTAAGATGTCCATGTCCTAATCCTTGGAATATCTGAATACGTTGCTTGACATGACAAAACGGACTTTCCAGATGTAATTTAGTGAAGTATCTTGAGATGGGGACAGTATCTCGGATTGCCCAGGATTGTCCTAATGTAATCATGAGAGTCCTTATAAGAGGGAAGCAGGAGGGTCAGAATCAGAGAGAACAAGATGTGATGACAGACACAGAAGTTGGAGTGATACGATGCTGGTTGGGGCCGCTAGCCAAGGAATGGGTTGGTTTCTAGAAGCTGGAAAAGTCATGAAAGTGGATTCTGCCTAGAGGCTCCAAAAGGAATGCCACCTCGAGACACCTTTAGTCCCACGAGACGAATTTTGGACTTCTGACCTCCAAAAGTGTAAGACAATAAGGTTATGTTGTTTTAAGCCACTAAGTTTGTCATAATTTGTCACAGCAGCAAGAGGAAATGAATACAGCTATTTTCACATATAGTGGAATACTGTGCAACCACTGAAAAGAATGAAGAACCCCTATCTGTTTTCATATGCAAGAATCTCCAAGATATATTATTAAATTTAAAAAAAAATCAAGATCCAAGAAAATGTGTATATTGCAGTACCCCTTGGTTACTAAGAATACATACACAGACCCGTCGGTTTCTGGAAGGCAAAACAAAAAATTAGTAATAGTGATTGCCTCTGGCTCCAGGCAAAGGGCATGCTGGGGAAGGGGCTGGTCAGTGTTAGAAGGGAGACTTACTTTTCAGTGTGCTTCTCTAAACCATAATACAGTTTGAGAATTGTCACTTGGTAGAAAATCAATTTCCACACTAAATTCTTTAGGGGAGAGGATAAAAAAAAACACACACTCTCAACTGTACTGGTGTTTTGCAGGTATGTCATTCTGAACTTCAGGGAAGAGTAGATAAATAACATTCTCCGACATGAGCAATTAGCTGTTGAGTGTGTGCTCCAGAGCAGCCAGATTTGAAGGTCAGATGGAAGCTGAGAGAAAAAGCCCCAAGGTCATTGTATAAAGAATAGACAATAATTCCATGTCCAGAATCACAAAGGAGGAAGAGATCCCACTTCTTTCCCAGAAGTATGCTAAGAATAAAGTGTCAGAAGGGGATTTCAGTTTTGCAAGCTAGGAATCTAGAACAGAAACCAAAGAAGGTGGGGAGGTTAGAGCTAATTATTAAGTGTGAAGGGCAGACAGTCCGCAGCCACTCCTATAAACTGGCGCAGTCATCACCCAAGGCCAGCAAACTGTCCCATCCAGGCCTGGAGGCCTCACTTCCAGCAGGGAGGCACCTCCCTTTACTCAGTGGAGTTCCCTGTGAAGCCTGGGGGACCCTGACTGATGTGAACCCAGGAGAGAGGACAAGCTTCATTGAGGGGAATGATGGGGGTTCGCTCTGGGAAAAGAGGAAGGCAGATACAGTGAGAAGGTGTTCATGCTGGCCAAAGCCTGCTGGGAAAATCTTGACATTTAGATTCAGGGGGCCTGTTGAAGCAGAGAGGCCTATAAGACTCAGTATAAAGACAGGAGGAAGTCTCATATTTATTCCAACATATTGCCATGGATCTCTCCTTGCTGCCATGACAACAGGCTGAGAGTTCTGTTGTGATAACTTGCAGACCTCAACCTTTGATTCTATCTTGTGGACTTTCTAATACTACCCTGGAGTAGAAGGACTTGCCCTGCCACCCAGGCCCTATAATTCAGCTTGGTGGCATCTTTAAAGTTTAATCTTTCATGATCCAGGCCAGGGAAACCTGAGAGAGTTTTACACATCTCTGTTATATGGTTTCTGTTCAGAGATAATCGTAAAATGCTGAACAAATCAGTTGGAGGATTCCACTGAATGAATATTTCGAGTAGAATTGCATTCGACTATGAGTAATAAAAACCTGAGAAGCGGTGGTTTAAATAACACAGGGATTTATTTTTCTCACGAAATGAGAATTCCAGAGGCAAGCAGTCAAGACTGATGTGGTAGTTCCAGAACAGGATCTTAGAGTGTGACCCTTATCCTCATGTTCATAAAATAGCTGCTAGAGCTCCAGCTGTCACATCATGCTCTTTGAAGCCGAAAGGAAGAAGGGCCAAGTGAAAATGGTGCCCAGCAGTTGAATCAGTATGTATGTATGTTTGTTTGTTTATTTTTAAAATTAATTTCAAGGAGTCAGTATGTTTTTTAAGAAGCCTTCCCAGAAGCCCTATCCAACACCTTTCATTTACATCTCAATGGCCAGAACTTAGTCATATGGCCACCCCTATCTGAAAAGAAGGCTGGGAAATGTTGGGTTTGATCTGGACATATTGCTTTCCTCGATAAAATTTGTTACTGAGGAGCAAGGTGAGAGTGGAATTAGATAGGTACCTAGGAATTTCTGTAACAAGAGTTTTGTGAATGGATAAAAATGTGAATTGCTGAATATTACCAAATATAATGTGTCAGAAGAAGCCAGAATTTCCTGAGGTCTGTTTACTAGTTCTCAACGACTGACAGATAGTACTGACTGACAATAACACCACTAATCCAGCATGTATGACAAGCCTACACAATAGGAGGTGGATGACATTGCAACTGAAGACAAAGAAATCAATTCATGGGGTCACTAACCCCTACTGTAAGGATGGAACCCATGAAAGGTGACATAAAAATAAATTAGGTATTACCTGAGTGGGCATGCACCATTTTGTCAGTTTGAATATTTGTTTGTTTTTAGTAAATACATATTAAAATGAGAAAATTATGCTATTAACTCCGCCATTTCAAATAAATCCTTTATGCTTAACAAGCTGCTGCCACTGGTTCAGCCTAATGTAGAGAATTATCTAGATAACTGAGACATTCTTTTAGGCAATAATTAACAAAAAAAGTACCAACTATTTATGAGATCTTATGAACTCTCACTGCCTGTTTCATCAACATACATGGAATAGTTTAACGTCATGGAACATTTTTGACTGGCTGCTATTTGTGTAGAAAACAATCTTTCTTACCGTTTCCCTCCTGTTCACCATCTGCCCCAACACACACATCCCACACAATCCCTCCCCAGCTCCACCACTATATATAAGGAAGAGAATTTTTTTTCCCAATCAAGTGATCAGCATTGAGTATTCTCTTCATTTCAGGTCATTCCTCAAAGATGATTGCAATCATTTCACAGGAAGGGAAATTTTGATGGGAGAGCTGAGGTATTCCTATTTCATGGAGGACAGGTTAGCACCAGTAGGTACTCAGGCACTTGGGTTACGCTTGCATTTTTTTATAACTTAAGATAATTGAAATGTATTTACCTTTAAATCATTAACCCAAATTGCTATGCTACTTGAATTCTCATGCTTTTGTGTGGTTGTGTGTATATATGTACCTACTTTTGGCATGTCTTATTCTAGCAGCAACCTTTTAATTGGCTGTTTGTAAACCGCTGTGCTTCAGTAAAACCAGAACACCTCATTTCTGGGTCCGTGGGCAAAGGAAAAGTAAAAGGCCCTGGGAACTCTCAAACAATGATGGTGGGTATGAAAATTGGCAAACTCCCTTTAAAAAATGGTTTGGCAGCAACTACTAAAACTGAGCATAGGCATAATCATGGACCATATTCACTTCCATCAACCTAGTGACACAGCTATATCCATATCCCCATGCTAGGACCCACTCCAGCTGTCCTTCCTTTATGACCTCTCAGGCCTTGTTGTTGACAGCCCTCTCCAGCAGTGTCCTTTCTGTCGGCTGATCTTAGGCAGCCCTCCTCAGCCCATTGGAGGCAAGCTCACGAATGGGAGCCTTCAGCGGGAAAGATTAGGAGACTTGAGCAGCTTCCTTTCAGTAAGTTCCCTAAACACTGTTACATTCCCACCCCTTCTCCAGAACTTTTCAAACTCTGTACAATTTATGATGACTTTGCCATCAGTATCTAGTACCATAAAGCCGGACACGAACTGGCTAAGACAATAAAGGTGAAGTCACTGGCTCATGTAATTGCAAAGACCAATGTGGGCTTGAGGCTCAGTTTTATCAGAGTTCTAATTCCGTTGCTCTGAAATTTCTCAACTCTGTGTTCTGCCATGTAGCTTTCATCTCAGGCAGAAGCCCCTCATAGACAGAAGATGTCTTCCAGCAACAACTGGGCTACATGCTTCCTTGTTCAATAGAGAAGAGAGAAGGCCTCTATCCAGATAACCACTGAATAAACGCTCAGAGCTTAACTCTTGGGAACTTCTGGGTCCACCATCGGAGCCAGTCATTTTGGTAGCAAGACCCAATCTGCCTGCAGAGTTGAAGCTCCAAGCCCTAGTCAAGCAAACAAAACAAAACCAGACTCAACTCCTATTGTACCTTCTCTCAGAATATTAGGTGCTTACTTTCACTATGTCTACATAAACTAAAAAATTTACGCATATGGCTCATCCCAGAACAGAGAAGGTATGCTCCAAAGTGATTTCACGTCCCCATGAGATCTGAGAAATAGCAATGGTTGGCAGTTTTAAATGCCAACTTCCGCTTAAAACATAGAGTTCTGCCCCATTGTTCTACTAGACTGTAACACCCACCCCCTTCTTCAAGAAATCTAAGGATATTTGGTGAGAAGAGAGGATCACATGTCACAGCATCTGCAGCACTGGATTCAGAAATAACAATAATGCCACATCTTTGATTAACATTTTATAGGTTTCCAATGTGTTTGCACATGCAACACCTCATTTCATTCCTGGGAGCTGGGTAGGATCTGCACTGCTATACCCAGTGTGTAGATAAGGAAATCTCAGGAAGACTCGGTGGCTGACTTACTCCTGATCAATGGCTTGTAGTGATAGAGCTGGCATTGGGATCTAGGTCTTTTTGATGTTGAACGTTTATAACGAATCTCTGATTAGTTTTTGGACCAGAGAACAGAGTAATAAAAATAAGAAAAGGAAATTTGATCATCATTCAGAGTGGTAGGAGACTAACTAGGGGTTTTCTGAAAGGAGGATTCTTCTGCCTCAGGACTTGGGGTGAACATGAGAGAAAAGACAGATCTTCTCAACCTTCGCTTGGTTTCATTCCCAGTGAAATTGGTTTCATTCCCAATTTCCTTTTTCCTAACTGTTTCTTTCTCAAATTATCTTCTTCGGTACAACTTTCTCAAATACAACATCGAATACTTTCCATGCCTAAGCCCCATTCAAAAATCAATTCTGAAAAAAAAAAAATGGGGGGTTGGGGGTGATGGTGAGGGGGCAAAGTGTAGAAAGTAGTGTATGTGTGGGCGGGGGGCGGGGGGCATAGGATTGGGAAGGGGCCTGAGAATGGGGATGGTGAAAGAAAAGGAGGAAGAAGTTGACTCTGATACTAAAGATTAACTGTAATCTAATTTGTCAGATTACTATATACATTTTTAAAGTGAACTAATGCCTTCAAGGACTAATGTGACCTTGAACTGCAGGCCCAGGAGTGAGGACACTCAAATATTGAGAAGGCCAAATCTACCAACTAAGGGGTTTTGTTAATTACTTTTAAGCATAACTGGAAACTGGTCAGGCACTATAAAACGTATTTATGTATAGCACTCATTTTAGATAAATTTGGAGTAATCACATATTCAGCTTGTTGAAAATTAATTTTCTTCAGACTCTGATCTGAACTGGGAAATATGGAAAGAAACTGAGAACTGAGAAGTGGGCAGCTCTGACATCATCTTGGAGATCTGTTTAAGATGCAAAGGGTCCTTTGCAAATTCTTTGCACCAAGAATTAGATTGCATCTAATCTCATGGTGGCGAGCAATTTAGAAATAATTAATCCAGATACTCATGGGCTGCTGTGATAGTAAAAGTAATATAATTGCTGTACTGTGGCATGGAAGGAAGAACAAATATTGCAGACTGGTGGCCCATGGGCCAGATGTGGCCCACAAATGGGACTCGTTTACCTTCTACTGTTTGGGGAGAACACTGCTCTCCAGTTCACCACTGGTCCCCACTAGTCACTCAATATATACATGTGCACTCACACACTGCCCTCTTCTCTCCCCACCTCCCCTGCCAGGCCCTTACAGCTTCTGAGTTTGAGACCTCTAAGATTAAAAAAAAAAAAAAAAAAAGAGAGTCATTAAACATATGAGGCACTACAGAGAAAAATCATTTATGCTGGCAAAAGCATAATGGGATGAAAATTATAGTAAGGTAAATTTATTTATAAAACTAAGGAGAAAAATCCTTCCTGGAAAATTGCTGAGATCTGGGTCCATTTTGTGTAAGGCAACCTGGGTCCAGCTCTGGAAAAGAAGGGACTGAGTGGCAGAGCCCTTTGAGATGGCATTCAGCAGGGCTGTTTGTTCTATGGCTCCAGGAACCAAAAATGCAACAGCAAATATGATTACGTCAAACGACTGGCTGAAAAGCAACATGATTAGAGTCATTACACACAGGAGACAAAGACAAAGAACATGACAAAAGCAAAAAGAGTCAGTCACCCTTCCACAGGGTAGGTGATGCGGGTGTTCTCCGCTCCACCCCAAAATCAACAGGAGGAAGGTACACAATGAGGGGTAAGTCCGAAACCAGTTAAACAGCAAAACAAGAGTGCTTTTTCAAAGTTTTACTTCTCTATGAAGTTCGATTTTAAATTAGGTATTTAGGCAAGAGCAAGGAAAAGACTTCCCCAGGGAGAAGGAAAGGGGAAAGACAAGACAAGTGCCTCAGTACCTGACGGAGGCCTCAAGCCCTCTACGTCTTCACAACTCCATCCTGACCCTCGGTGCCCTCTCCTAAGTGCATCTGGCAAGCAGGATGCTTTTGCCACTCATTCTTAGTGTCTGGGTGGTATGTGAAATGGCTCTGCTTGTGGCCAACTGCCCAACTTCTCCCCCAGATTCAAGGGGAGAGAAGAAAAATGACCTCTAACACCCAAATTCAAGTACAGAATGTACGTTAAGATAAAGACTCTGGAGTCAGACAGACCTGAGTTCAAATGCTAGTTCTAGCACTTACTAGCTTTATAGACCTCAGTAAGTTACTTTATTTCCCTGTGTCTTATTTTTCTTCATCCATAATTTGGGCATAATACATTTATCTGTCTTAGAGGGTTTAAAAACCGATCTATGTTAAGAGATCTAGTCCAATGCCTGACACAACAGTAGGCACTCAATGCCTAGTGGTAATTATTATTCAAAATAATCATAACAATAAACTTGAACATCTGTGAAAGGGAAGGTGTCCTAGTCAGTCAAATAAAAGGAGAATCAGTATCGGATCTCATGTCATGGCTGAATGCCTCTCTGCTTCTCTCTGTCCAGTTGAATGGCTTTGTCTGCATCAGCAGAGACTAGGAAACTACCGCCATCAAAACCAATGAGACAAGCATTTTGTTAGTGTCTGTTAGGGGCACAGTGCAGTGACACTGTGCTAGACCTGAAAAAAGGTCTCATCTAAGGTTGAGCTGTCATCATGGGAAGCTATAACTGTTGTAATCTATCCAAACTGAGAGATGATGGAAGACTATCTTTCGCTGATGCCACATGAGAGAAAAAGAGTACCAAAATGGTTAGAAATTGCTTCAGCAGTGAAAACTGAAATCTTAGTGTATTAGCTTATCACAGTGCTGAGCTATACCCCTGCACAACTTTTATCGAGCTCTATGTGCAGGCACAATGAAAGACAGTCTCCTTTTTCAAGGAGACTAGGATCAGCGGCCTCCATGGTGAAATGCATTTACCCCAGGATGGAGGCCAGACAATACTCTGGGGTGTGGGATGATGATACTAAATCTTGCATTTGGTTTTAGAAAATTAATCTTCTTAAAGTGTTTGACTTATTTTATAATAAACATATTATATTTGAATAGTAGTGCCTGTATATAATTTATAAATAAAAATATTCACAGAATTGAGGTTTAAATTTTTTATTGATGGGGTGGGTTCTTGATTAAAAAGTTTTGGGAACCACTGGTCTAAAGAAAGATGGCAGACCAGTCAGCCAACAGTCAAAATTTAATTCAGAGAGAGTTTGGCTGGAGCACGATGATCGCATGTAGCTTAGCAGGGAAGAAAGAGATAGGAGGCAGGGAAGTCTTCCTGGAGGAGGTGACAGGCTGAGCTGCTGAAGTGTGTTTGGTGGAGGGAGTGGAGAAGAGGGAAGAATGTTTCAGGAAGGCTACACAATACATGGAAAGGCAAGGTGGCCCA